GTGGCCGGATCTCAGCTCACTGCAAGCTCCGCCTCCCGGGTTCACGCCATTCTCCTGCCTCAGCCTCCCGAGTAGCTGGGACTACAGGAGCCTGCCACCGCGCCCGGCTAATTTTTTGTATTTTTAGGAGAGACGGGGTTTCACCGTGGTCTTGATCTCCTGACCTCATGATCCGCCCGTCTTGGCCTCCCAAAGTGCTGGGATTACAGGCTTGAGCCACCGCACCCGGCCAATGTAGCTCAGTTTTATAAAATGAAGTGACATGGTGATGACAGAATGACAACCTCAGCTAAGACTCAGGAGGGGGCTATTGAGTAGATCTAGCAAATGTTTTAGGGGATTGTGGAGCAGGTGGGCCGGGGCTCATGCTTTCAGAAAACTGAACTAAGGAGATGCACTTTACCAACCATGGAAGAAAGTCATTTCTGACTCTGCAAAAAATTGGACTTATAATAAGCTGATTCCTCTTTTTTAGTGTTTAAGGGAAAAAATACAAGTTCCGAGTAGCCTACTGCTCTTAATATAGCACCCAGAAGCCCCAGTCTGACACAAAACAGGGCAAGGTGTAAACACAGGAGCGTACATCTTTCAGTCAACTCTAGCTCTCTAGTCCGAGAACTGGAAGAAATTTCTGCTTTCTGATATCAAGGACATTTATGACTAAAACAACAATCCTGTGACACAACTACTTTGAACCCATATTTACAGTGGACACTGCGAATGGCCTTTCCCAACCAGGGACCACATTTGCCCGACTGGAGCATCACTATAACAAGGTCTTTGGGAACGCAGGCTAGCAAGTCCCCTGCAGAAGTTGAGTCTATAAACAGTTTTAACTGTAAAAACACAGTTTTTGCTGTGGCCTCAGTTTCCAGGTCTACCTGAATGGATTCCACTCCCTATTGTGGAATATTACAGAGAGGTCCTGGGATATTTCATAAATAGCTGGAGAGCATCTTGTTCCAGGTGACTCGGCCCAGTCTAGCAATCTAGAGGCACTACCCTCCCATCAGGACACTGGCCACGTCTGAGATGTCATGGAAGAATGAGTTTCAAGCACTTACTTTCATCATTAGAAACATTCCCCAGAGATGTGTGGCTGGAATAACGTTTGTTTTCACTTTCGTTGAGACATCTTTCAATCCAGCTCTCTAAAAAGAAAAAAAAAAAAGAAAGAAAGAAAGAAAAGAAAAAGAAAAAGAAAATCACAGAACTGCTGTGGGTGTTTGAGAAGAGACAGAACATCATAAATGCATTAGATTTAAATGCTCATCAACATGCATGTGGCATCTGCCCAGACTGGAATGGGATTTTACACGGAGTTCCATGTGCACCACTGCTGCTGCTGCTGAGACTGCTGAGTAGTTTGGATGCAAAATGGCTCTTTGAAGCCTCACTTGAGTATTTCTTGGTCAGATTCTACAAATTCTGGAGTATTTGTAGTACCAACTGAGGATTATCTTTCTGAGCAAAGAAGGTATGTTCCTGAGTAGCAGTTTGTAAAACCAGACTTGGTCAACTGAATCACTGGTGGTGGTTTGTAAACTTGTGAATTAGCAGCAGAACTTTTCTTCAAGTGAAAACAAAAAGAAAAACAGGTAAAACTTTAGGGACTCTGGTTGGAAGAGGACAGGGAACCTTGTAGCTTGCCTCCCTTTGGCCAGGGACCCCTCAAAGAGCTCTCACAGACTGGAAGCCATAGCAGGAAGAGAAATCAAAAGCACTATGGTAGCTATGTAGCCCCCCCCTTTTTTTTTTTGAGATGGAGTTTGCTCTTGTCACCTAGGCTGAAGTGCAATGGCGTGATCTCGGCTCACTGCAACCTCCGTCTCCCGGGCTCAAGCTATTCTCCTGCCTCAGCCTCCTGAGTAGCTGGGAAGGCGCCCGCCACCAAGCCCTGCTAATTTTTGTATTATCAGTAGAGACGGGTTTTCACCATGTTGGCCAGGCTGTTCTCGAACTCCTGACCTCAGGCGATCCGCCTGCCTTGGCCTCCCAAAGTGCTGGGATTACAGGCATGAGCCATTGTGCCCAGCCGCTATGGAGCCCTTTTAAAATCCAAGACTATGAGTTGTTTTTATTTAATCCAGTTTCAAAGGCTACAAATACAAATGTATTTGTCACAATGTAGTGTAATACTTATTCTGTTTTCTAGACCACCCACCATTCATTCATTCATTCATTCATTCATTCATCATTCAACAACATCAGCTAAGTACAGTCAGCTCTACTATAACACTTGTCTTGAGAAAACAAATGTGTCCCAATGCAAGTGATATATTTGGGAACAATCTGAGCAGAGTGCAAACTTTGTGTCTCTTTATGCTCCATTTATTTCATAAAAAACATGAGGGGAATGCAGAAAACTCCACGTCCCTCCCCCCCATTACACTGAGCACCACAGAAACATGCGGAACACGCTCACGTTCACACCTCAGACATCTACCGGCTACTTTGGTCCACATTGTGCTGTGAGTCACACCTGCTCACTTCATAATAACTCACAGGCTGCAACCCTTCCGATATCCACCTCTAAAGGCAATCTTCAGGTCTTTTCCAAGGTGAAGTGCCATTCTTATTGGATTTGTGTATTTCTAAACCATTTAACATGTGCAAAACTGTGATATCATTTTTATTAGGTTTCTGTCTTTTATTATGTGTCACTGACAAGGTTTTTCAGTATTGTGCCCCTAAGCTTATTTTTCCAGTAAACTCAGTGGTCTTTGTTGGCCGATTCTGTATAATGTGGTGATTTTTAGGAAGGCATATGGGGTGTTATAGCAGAAATGGCTACACCTATGGCTGCAGGCTTTTGGGCAGTGTGGTTCCCCATTGCCTTCTTTATGATCTGGGAGCTGGTATTTATTGTACACCTATTTGAACATGCCAGCCCTCTGCATAAGTCATTTCATTGAATCTTCACAACAACTCTCTGAAGCAAGGATTTTAATCTCTATTTTTCCTAGAAAGCAACTGGGATTTAGAGGGATTAAGTAATGTGACTCTTCATAATTCAAAGAGCTGAGGAAAAGATCATTAGTTAACACCTTAGGTTACACATTGTAAAAAGAAGCCACGTAGACGAGTAAGCTATGTGGAGAGGGGAAATCAATGTCAACAGCCGGGAGAGATGTCGGATTTTTGTTTTGTTTTGTATTTTATGTCCCAACAAACTGCTCTTTTAAAAGCTGCTTCCAAAATTGTGAATAAGTAGGGGGAAAATATCCGAGGGGAGGAACAAGGGCCAGCTTGTTGAGAGGATATGGAAATCTGATATTTCCCAGGAAATACTGAGGAGCAGAGAAATTCAAAACATTAAAACGCTGCCCCTTCCAGATATCGAATGCACAATGTGGAGACAGACAGCTTGTAATGTTTCAAAGCTGGGGGTAGGTGTCTGTCATCACACTGTATCCAAACGCACATCTGCTTACAAATCTCCAGAATTCGTTTCAGGATTCTCCAGAATGTCTCCACTTAGATCTTCTCATCCTTTCAATTCCTGGCTCATTTTCCCTGGCAGCAGCCATGGCTACATGTAGATGGCATCTGCTGAAGTTGGCAGCCCCTGCCTTCACCAAACCATACCATCAAAAGCAATATCTATAGTTCTGGGCCAACCCCTGGTCTTCCTAGATAGGTATACACACCCAGTCACTCTCACACGCACGCACATCTACACCCCAATCCCCACATTGTCAGAAACAGGAACTAAGGGAAGCACTCTCCCTCTCACCCATTTGCCTGCGCTGGATTCAGGCCTGTTAACATCAGAGTCCTTAGAAGGGCCTGTTCTCGCAGGCGAGAACCCCCCGTGACTGGTGGGACATTCTCTGAAGAATTTGTGGCAACATTCCCAAGACGAGCTTGTTCTAATAACCAGGTAAGCCAAGAGAGCACAGCGCCCACCCACAAGAACTCAAGTAAAGAAAGAACTTTCCTGACGGCAGCACCTGTCCTCCACACTGTGCAATCCCACATTGGAGAGAGATGAAAGCAAGGCTACAAGAAGTGGGAGAGGGTGGGAGGTGCCGTGAAAACGAAAGAGAACACATCTCACCCATCGCACCCACTCAGATCTCTCTGACCCAACAGTCTATGCCTGTAGCCAACTGTGCTCCCTGGGGCAACCCACGATAAGTCTGGTCTCACTGGCACATTGCAGACATGAGAAGATAATCATCATTTCCCCATATTTCTGGTTGAAGTACCCCCATCAAAGAACCGCATTGTTTCACCTCTTTCGTGGAAAAAAATGTTCCCATTTCTTTGCCATCCAGTTCACCTGCTTCTGGGTGTCTTCTAGTTAATCAATGTCCATGTGAACACGTGGCACTTGGGATAGACTCTGAGGGTTCAGACCATGGTCTGAACAGTGAAAGAACCATCACCTGTGTTGTTCTGGACAGTTGGAGTTCTCATGCATTCAAGGGTCTTGCATTCCAGACTATGTGGATGCAACACTCTGAGATATCCAAACCAGATACAGGCCTTGAATCTGCAGGGGCACTTTGACCTTTGTCTTCTTCCCTAGTGGAGCTCTTAGGAGTGGCATCTCCAATTCACGTCTCATAAGCCAGGTAGCTTCCTATGACTGGAAGGCCTCTCTTTAGGTCAGCTGAAGTCAACGTTATGCACTTTAAAATTATTTTTAACAATGGATTTCGGTCTTGCAGAGGTCAGGAATTACTTGGGCAGAATGACATGTATACTGAATTTTGAATGAAACACTGTGTTCTTCCACCTTATTGATTTGTAGGTGATGTGATTTTATAATAATAAAGTTCAGTATATATTGAGCTCTCACTATGGGTGAGGTATCATACAACTGCATTACATACATCATCATACTTAATACTCATTACAGTCCTAGAGGTGGGTGCTATTAATAGGCCCATTTTAGAGATAAGAAAACTAAGGCTCAGAGAGATTCAGTGACTCATCCAAAGTCATCTGGCTAGTAAGAGGAAGACCAGCATTCAAACTCAGGTCATAATCACAATGCTCTCTCCAAATGTGAACTGAGCTTTCTCCTCCTATATCCCATTTAGTCCTCAGAACAATGTGCCAATTCTGCAGCATTTTTCTCAGTCTGCTTTGTATTCGAACTTTTGCTAAAACTCTACTTATATAATGCGCTAAATTCATTTACATAATTTTTGTCAGCCGTTGTCATACACAGAAGCCTCTTCAGTTTAGAATTTAAACCTCTTAAGAATGGAGCCTGTTTTATTCTATTTCTTTTGACTCTCCACTAGTACTGTTATAAAGTTTTTCCTGTAGTCTGGCCTCAATAAGTGTTACATCAGTGACACATATGTCAAAGAATGCATAGCTTATAAGTAGATACATCCACATATCTATAGAATTTCCTAATCATTTTCTCTCTCTTTTTTTATTAACCGCATAGGCATGGAAAAGTATAACACATCAAAGGCGATTTTCCAAATAAAGCAAAATTCAACACACATTTATTTTGTGCCTTCTAGATGCAAGAAGCTGTGCTAAAGAGAAGCTGTAGTGGCCAGGCGCAGTGGCACACACCTGTAATCCCAGCACTTTGGGAGGCTGAGACAGGCCGATAAAGATCAGCCTGGCCAATGTGACGAAACCCTGTCTCTACTACAAATACAAAAATTAGCTGGGTGTGGGTGGCATGCACCTGTAATCCCAGCTACTCAGGAGGCTGAGGCAGGAGAATAGGTTGAACCTGGAAGGCAGAGATTGCTGTGAGCCAAGATTGCACCACTGCACTCCAGCCTGGGTGACAGAGTGAGACTCCATCTCGAAAAAAAAAAAAAAGAGAGAGAGCAGTTGTAGTGATATAAACATGAACAAGACTGGCTTCTGCCCTCTAGTTACCAAGTAGAAAGTAAGGCATGTGCTACCCCCTGAGCTCATGAGTGCAGGACCCTGTCATTTTTGTCCATCATCTCACACCCAGTGGCTGGCCCTGTGCCTGGCTCCATAGATGTTGCACAATAAATACACGTTTTTTCTAAAAAATTAAGTTCCTATTGAGTGCCAGGTACTATAGAAGCCATTTTCACATATGTTGTCTAAATTGGACCCAGAACAACATTACATGTCATGTTTTCATATCTCTAATTATAGATATGGAAAGTTAGGCTTGAAGCAAAAGTTCTAAAGG